CCTTGTGGTCTCTTTCAACTCTATGATTCTATGATTCTATCATTCTAATTGTTTAATTTTTAAAACTTTTGTACAATAAGATTTTAGCTGTATTTGTATTAATTTGTTCTAAGTTGCTTTGCATTCCATAGTATGTTAATCAATTAATCAAATAAATAAATAAAATCATTTAAAAGTATTTTATAAAAGAGGACACCTTTGCTGTTTTAGGAAGAAAAAAAATCGCAAGAGGGCAATATCTTTAGCATGGGTACAGGTGAATCTCCAATCTAAGTACCCCTCACAATTCCCCTGTCTGACCCATAAGATTCTTCTGTTATTATCAGTGAGCAACTATTGTACAGAAGAGACTATTTAAAGATCAGGGATTTTTGCATGCAGCCAAACTCTGCTTTCCAGCCTGAGAGGCTCTTTCATGGAGTTGATCTGTGCACTGCAGCCCATGGTGGCATGTTGAATTTAGTGTCCTGAACAACTGTTGTACTGGAAATGAACTTCTCAGGAGATATACAGAGAGTTTAGCTGTGCTTTGTATCCTTGGTGAGAAAATGTTCAAAGTGGTAAAGATGATTGTAGTGGGTTTGATATTGGAAGAACGGCATGAAACCAAAATAAGTTCTTATAGCTTTTCCTTGTATAACATTTGGAGAATATACTTGTTCTTTCAACATATAACAAATCAAAACTGGAACATGTGTGGCCATGCAATATCAGAGTGTTAAGATGGTAAAAGTTATTTAATGGGGAAAAAAATACAAGCTAGGAGAGGCTGTAGCAGTTTTGTTTTGCCTGAGTCTACTGGAAGGGCAAGATTGCACTCCTTCCTCTACTCTCTCCCCTGCCACATTAACTGAATGCAGACTACTTTTGTATTTTAACTCAGTTTGCATCAATTGATATTAACTGAGGACAATGGGGGAAACAGAGAGGATAGAGAAACTGGGACATTCTAAAAAATAGGATGACAGAAAAATTGTCAAGACACTTGGAGGTTATGCTATGAATTAAGTATAATAGACCCTTCTAGCCTTCAGTTGCTGGTTGAAGAAGGTTGGAAACATCACCCACAGCCCTTCAGCACCCGATATTGGACAAACAGGCCAGTCCCTGTGCCAGACAATAAATTGACATAAATGAGATATTGAGAAATGGAATACACAAAAAAATGTTGCAAAACACTTCAGTCTTCCTGGGCATTTTATTTCTGACCTCTGACAGTGGTCCTTGAACAACAACAAGAAAAAAACCTACAAACAAACTACTACAAATGAATATTGGAAAGAGAAACAGATGAATTAGAATATATTTACAAATGCCAATCCATTAACACTGGGTTGAACAGAGACAATGGTTTCCTGGCACACTGCACGTATGATAACTTTGGTTAACACACAAGCCTCATGAAGAAATTCTTAGCCACTTTAACACATCTCCTTTCTGGTTCCCAGCCTGCATGCACCACATTCCAAAACTCCCTCCATGACCTGGAACAAACAGGCCAAAAGAAGCAGCTTCCGGCTGCTTTGAGGGCATGGCATTTACATGATGCATGCCCCCAAAGCAGCTCAAAGCCACTCTGATGCTGCACTCTGGTCCTTTGGAGTGGAGCAAAAAGGAGCTGGGATAATCCAGCTCCTGGTGGCACTGGTTGGGGCCACTGGTGGTGACCCACTTTGGGAGTGGGTTGTGTCACCATGGTCCCAGCCTGCTTGCGGCTAGAGTTGCCTTGGGCTGCTCCTTCCCAGCCATCTGCCCTGGGTCCATCATTCATATTCTCATTAACCCACCATGATCTTAGGTAACATCTTTCCTCCTCGGTTTTTCCCTCAACAGTTATAGTTAAAACTACACTTGTTATTTCATCACAATACCCACAAGTTTTGTATTTTTATGGATATTTATATAATTGATTATAAATGTCCTTCCTGGGCATCAGTTCACTCAATGCATCAGAGGAAGTAAACCAAGTTTTCAAAAACTTATGCTGCTACTTCCTTTGCACAGTCTCAAACGTGCCACAAGATCTCTATACATCATAAAACATAATATAAACAAGTGCATTTATACAAACTGCAGAACATCGTGAGAGAAAGTGAAGCATAAATCTTGTCATGACCTTGGAGCAATGTTTTAAGATAAAGCTCAGTTAGAGTAGTCATGCTTACTGACTCAAGCTGAATCTGGACAAAACAGAGTTGTTTAAAGTGGGGGCCACTAAACCAGGTATTGGGTTGTGGATGGGGTCACACTCTCTGTTAAGGACTGTGTCTGCAGTCTGGGGGTGCTCCTAGACTCATTGCTTCACATGACAGATCTGGTGAATGCGACAGTCAGGAGTGCCTGCTATCAACTTTGACTGATATGCCAGCTGCGCCCATTCCTGGAAGTAAGGGATCTAGAAATTGTAGTACATGCACTGGTAACCTCACGACTCGACTTCTGTAATGCACTCTACATGGGGCTACCCTTATACCTATACTGCAATTAGTACAAAATATGGCAGCCAGGCTGATCACTGGAACATCTAGGAGTGATCATATCACACCAATTTTAAGATCTCTCCACGGGCTGCCCGTTAGTTTCTGAGCACAGTATAAGGTGTTGGTGATGGCCTTTAAAGCCCTGCATGGCCTGGGCCCAACTTACCTTAAGGATCACCTTCTCCCATATAATCCGCCCCGCGCCCTCAGGTCCTCTGGGAGGAAGCTTCTTAATCGACAAGAAATAGACTGATGGTGACCTCCCAGAGGACATTTTCTGCTACCGCTCCCAGATTCTGGAATACCTTGCCGGAAGAGATCCATCCGATAACCAACTTAGATGGCTTTTAAAAAGCCATCAAGACAGATCTCTTCCAGCAGGCCTTTAAACTTGGTCTCTTCTCACAAGATGCTCTCTTATCCTCGATTCGTGCTTGCCCTGGAGTGCCGATAGTTTTAAATGATGCAATTCATTATCTGTCTTTGTCTAAATTTGTTTTCTGTTTTAAATTGGTTTTAACAGAGATTGTATTTAATATATTTTTAATAGGGGGGTATTATTGTTTATTGTCGGGGTTTATATCTGTTTTAACTGTAAGCTGCCTTGATTGCTATGGCAAAAGGCAGGGTGGAAATAAAATTATTATTATTATTATTATTATTATTATTATTATTATTATTATTATTATTATTACTATTGGATTTCATATAACAAGGAAAATACTTTTTGGTGTTTTGAAAGTGTGTGAACATGATGTGAAAGTTTCTTTCAATATTGTTTCAGGATTTATTTATGTCCTTTTGTCTTTCAGAGAGTGTGTATATTTATGCACCTTTAAGTTGTTTGTTGACATGATGACACTATGACTTTCATATGGTTTTCTTAAGGCGAGAAATATTCAGAGCATTCCTCTGTATTCCTTGGTGGTCACCCATCCAAATATTAAGTAAGGCTGACCCTGCTTAGCTTTAATGATTAGACATGATCTGATTGCCTTTGTGATAGTTTAACCTCTTCAGAGACAATGTCCTGACAAATAAAAAGAAATGATGTAGATATTTGAAGGAAGAAAAGAACAGAATAATCTGGGCAAACAGTTGCATAGTGACATCCCTGTTCCTGCAGCAGATACTAAGTAGTGCCAATATCATTGCTGGACTGCCTATTTCTCCAAAATATTTCTGAGATTATTCTTCATCATGTTTCTTGATCCATAAATATAACATTTATCAGTCATGTATATGAGATTCAGATTTTTATTGTGGGGTTTTGTTGATGGGTGTGGGTGGGATGGATCTGCTTTTACAGCATATTTATAGATACAGATTTTTATTTTCTGCATCCTTACTGTGTTTCTTGCTTTGTACTGTTACTCATTCCCTTTCAGTGGGTGAGTGAGCAAGAAATGAGGTTTTCCAATAATCATGAAACTGTTTCCTTATACTACATGCTCAAAATAGGATTGTGTGTGAAATCACAGATCAGATTTTTCACTTGCATTCCAGTAAAGTTTTTGGTGCAATAAGATAATGTAAATTTAAACACCAAGAATGTTTTAATAGAATTAAAATGAATATCAATTTTTCCATATGATATGTAAAAAAAAATTGGTTGTGTCTTTTTAGATTAAATGCAACATAATGGCATTTTCACACTAACTTTTCTGTCTCTAAAAATTATCTGGTGTGGTTTATGTGTTTAATAGACTAATCTGTGGCCCTAAATTCTAGTTTACTTAGTTTATGAATATAGTACTGCCTGGTGCCAAGCAACATTGCTTGGAAAAAAGCCACCCACCCACCCAGTCTGCAGCATTCAATTTTCTGGACTGTTCCTCAATATTAATTATAGGCGAAGTCCTTCAGTTAGAACCAAATCATATTATTTCTATATATACTAGGGGTAGGCCCTCAAAGAAGTCAAGGGCACAGAACCACTGTGGTGTAGTGGATTGAGTATTGGACTATGAATTGAAAGACCAAAGTTCAATTCCTTGCTTGGTCATGGAAACACACTGGGTGATCTTGGGTTTTTCACACATTGTCAGCCCCAGAAAAAACATGTGATAGGTTCTCTTTAGGGTCACCAAAAGTTGGAAATGACTTGGAGGCACACAACAATAACAGAGGTCACAATGGAGCTCCTGACATAACTGGAAGTGACATCACATCTCTTCTTGTTTTGTTTTCAGCAGATTTTTCACTTTGGAGGGGCTTGAGGCCATCATGTTTGTCAAGTGGCTTTGTGACATTTTTTTCTGAAGTTTTTTTTGGGAATCTTCAAAACTGTTTTTAAATGAAAATTGGGATCTGAGGGTATCAGGGTGTTAGCGTGGTTACTCAGCATGTGATGATCCACGTCAATGTGCAGCACCAGTGTCACTACCTTCTCAAATGCAGGCAGATGCAGGCTTGTGAGCTGAAAGAGCACCTCTCCCCTTCCAGAAAGAGTAAAGAGACTCTGCAGACAGATGTCTCTCAGATGAGGCTTTAATCTTGGTTCCTCTATGTACAAGGCTATATACACGATCCACAGCAACAACTCCCAACGACATCAACAACCCACACTACCAACAACCAACATATGTGTCCTGAGGCAACTCCCTTATATACTCAGGGTTCCATGTGGCCTCCTGGCCCTGCCTCTTCCTCTGGACACCTGTCATTCATTCTGGGTAACTTTGCAGTTTTGCAGCCATTTTGGTGCTTTACAGCACCTTGTGACCATCACCCAATGTCACTTCCTATGACACAGCACCTGGTAGAAAGTGCTGTGTCATTATGGCTGCCAGTGACCCTTTCATGTCTGGTCACTTGTGTATCATTCCACATTGGACATTTTCCATGAGACAATGTCTCCACACAGGGACCATATAATGGGGTCCTGTGAGCTATACTTTCCCACGCTTGGTGGAAACCATTCAAGTTCTACTATCTACAAAGCACAATAGGATCATCAATTGCATTCTTCCATGCTTCATTTGGAAAAGATCATCATTTTAATTTACATCTCTGATCACATTTTATAAATGTTTAAACACAGAAATCTTATTCTGCTTGAAAATTCTGGTCATGTTATATATCTGACCTCTATGCTCTTCCATTGACCCAGCCACTCAACCTGAAGTGTGGTATGATTAAATGATTGCCCTAATATAATTAGAATGTGAAATAGAGATAAACAGCAACAGATTGTTGCCATGTACCTTTTTTTTAAAAAAAAATGTGGATTATTAATATTCTTCAAGGAATTGCCTCATTTTTATAGTTCAAATCAGACTATTGAAATGATGTATGAGAATATAAATTGTACATGTTTATTAATGCGAACACTGAAATGTGATATTTTAAAATCACTTTCACTTTGTAATGTAAGAGATTATTTAATCCTCAAATTTAATTGAAATTAATGGGACTACTAAGAATGTGGTTATACTATGACTCAGACTAAAGCTTACAAATAACTGATAATATGTACTGAATCTATTTTTCTAATAATGAACATATAAGTACATTACAACTACAGTTGTAAGTTAATGTGAGACAACTTTACTCTTTTTTAAGTATAACTGTAAACTAAAGCTGTGAGGAGTATGGTCTTGCTAATGGCAAAGAAGAATATCACATGGTTCAATTATTGCCCCGTCCCCCAGCCTCATATTCTGGTGTGGATGCTGATATTATGATGAAAAGTAGGACAATGAATATTACACAACTGTCCAGCAGATCATCATATTTAGGTGGTGTTGCTGTTTTTAAAAAGATGAAAAGTAGCAAGTGAACTCCTTTTTAAAAAACCAGGAAAGTAAAAAGATTAAAACTGCAATGATAGCTTCTATGAATACTAGATAAATACTATGAGGCACTGGAACTATAACTCTAATTACTTTTAAAACTAACCTTTTAAAACTAATTAAGCTCTGAATTAAATCTAGAGAGCAAAAAGGGTAGATAAGGGTAGACGTCTGTCCCCATTACTTCCACCGAGACAATGCCATACACTCTGCTGCTCATACCATATTTATTCCTTGACTAATCTTCCATACTTAGTTGTCTGGAAAAAATCACTCAAAAACCCTAAAATTTGTGTGTGTTTGTATGTTTGTAAACAAACACATCTCAACATACACACCTCCAAGGCTGGCTCCATGCCTGAAGGGACCATTCCGATGTACCATTTGCTAGATCCTCTGGTACTACAGTGAGATTATGGAAACTGAATCTGACATTGGAATTCCCCACATATGAAGTGACATTTTATGTACTGTGGATAATTCCAATAATTAATTTTGCATTAATAAGAATAGAACATTTACTGTGGAGAGGTCATTCTAGACCATGCTCAGGCAGATATTGATTCTGGGCCCACTACAACTGTATATCATAATATACAGTGGTGGTGAACCTATGGCATGCGTGCCAGAGAGAGCACTCAGAGCCCTCTGTGTGGGCACATGTGCCATCACCCCAACACAGAGTTTGCCAGAGTTCATTACTAGAAAGCCAGAGGGGTGCAGCACTTTGTGATAAGTAAGTGGCACTTTGTGATAAGTAAGTGGGTTTTGGGTTGCAGTTTGGGCAC